GCTGTACCCGCTGGGCAGCGGTCAGTAAAGTGGTTTTCGCTTGGGCAAGGCCATCACCATCCCATATTCATAAGGCATGTGTGTGGCCCTCGAGCTCTGGCTCAGCAGGTGGACCTGGCACATCCTGCAGGCAGCACAATTACTCTTCTTGCTTGAACCTGTGGCCATGTAGTCTGCTGTCCTCTTTGCCAGTCTTGAGTGTTGCAAGGGAATGTGCAAGCAAAGGGTTCTTCTGTGGTAGCACACACCTGGAGAGGGCTTCTCCTGACTCTTAAGTGTTAGGATCTGAGTTGTGTTGGACTGTGGGATGGTTGGGAGCAAGGAAGAAACCTTCACTGAGAGCATGTTTGTGCACTGTGAGGAGAGAAGAGGGTACTGGGAAATCTCCTACAGGCAAGGAACAAGGATTGGCAATTCCATCGGACTTCTGCAACTGGCTGCATGTTGCTTACAATTCAAGAAATCATGTTGCTTTTCTCCTATATTTGTGGCTTGTCTTCATTCCCTCTGTGCTCTTGATTTTACACTTCTTTGACTTTCCTTGTGACATAAGTAACAAAGTTAAATCTCCCTTGCTTGAGCAGTGCAGAGTCCTGGTTTTCTCTTTCTGCATCTAGTAGCTCTTCAGTTTTCTAAATTTCTGTGGCAGAAAACAAAAATACAAATGTTTTTATGAAACAGGGTTTCCAAAACTGAGCAAAAATTTCTGAAGTGATGAAGGACAGGCTGTATGTATTTCTGTCTTCTGGCTCTTGTGTGGCAGTCACTTCCCATTGAGCTGCCTGGAGAGATGCCCAGCCAGATTTCTTGCCTGACTGTAGCTGAAGTCTGAAAGTGATCTTCAAGCGTGAAATCTGTTTATAACAGGCAACAACTAGAAAATGAAAAGAAGAAGCGGGAGACAATTGAGAGGGAGAAAGAGCAAATGCTGAGGGAGAAGGAGGAGCTGCTGGTGAGGCTACAAGAGTATGAGGTGAAGACTCAGAAAGCAGAGAAAGGTAAAGTACTTGTCCTGGCTGACCAGAACCATGTGTATTGTGCTCCACAGAAGGGTTATGTGGGTCATTGCCTACACCTAGCCTAAATCTGGTGGTACTGGGACCTCTTGGTGAGGCTTATTAATATCTGCCAGTAGGAATAAATACACACGTGTGTGCACACTGCTGAGATCATCTAAAGTATGAAAGTAGCATAAAATCTGCTGATTGCATTCAGGAAATGAAGGACACCATCTCTGTTTTCCCCCATTGCCAAGTGGGTTTGAGTAGCAAAGCCTCTTCCAGCAGTGAGCCTCTCAAGCACTTCTTAACTCCTAACAGATGAAGTACTTTGGGAACCAGTCTTTCCAGAGACACAGAAGGTCCTGTTTCAATGCACAGATGTGCAGATTAGAGATGGCAACATCTGGTCCTCGTGGTAAACTGTCAGTTAAGGGCAGCAGCAGAATCATGTCAGTGTTACAGACTTCAGTTAAAATATCTTGCAGAAGATTAAATTAGAAGCAGTCAGCCACACTGAATTCTAAATTCAACTACGTGGTGCATTGTGGTCATCATGACTTCGAGGTGTGCACTGAAGGGACATTGCAGGCCAGAGTAAAGTGCTTGTCATGACTTGTGCTGTTACCCAAGAGACTGTCTGTAGTCCCTTCGCTTTCACCAAGCTGTTGTGGGCTAACCATACTGATCTGCCTTTTTGCAGAGCTCTCGGATCAGATCCAAAGAGCTATTCAGCTGGAGGAGGAAAGGAGACGAGCTCAGGAGGAAGCAGAACGTTTGGAAGCTGATCGTTTGGCTGCTCTGCAGGCCAAAGAAGAGCTGGAGAGGCAAACTATGGACCAGATAAAGAGCCAGGAACAACTGGTAAGACCCAGTCATTTTCATTATAAGATTTACGGGCATGTTACTGTGCCCTTTGAGTAATACAAAACCTTGTTCTCCAGCGAAAGACACAGTGCAGTGGAGTACTAGGCCATGTGATGGCATCCTTGTGGCACTGGTTTTTATCTTGAGCAACCTACTTTTTTTGTTCTTGATGTTTAGTCTTTAGTACAGTGCAGTATAACACTCAGGTCTTTTCTCAGCCAACAGTGTGTTTGTTGTGTTTGGTTTTGTTTCGTTTTTTTAAGAGTCCTTATAATTCCAGTTTTATTGTTCAACAGGCTACGGAACTTGCAGAGTACACAGCCAAGATTGCACTCCTTGAAGAGGCGCGGAGGCGCAAAGAGAGCGAGGTTGAAGAGTGGCAGATCAGAGTGAGTATCTGCACTGGAGCAGAGCACGCCGCAGCGCTTAGCCTGGTGTGAATTCTCTAAATGTGTGGAGACAAATAGCAGCACACCAGCAGAGGAGGGCAGACTTGTGATGAACGTGCAATATGCCTGCAAAACACCTTTCTTCCACCTCGCCTTCAGTCTAAGTTCAAAATGGAAACCTGTATAAAACCTAAAAATGTGATCATCACCTTGGAGCCATGGAGGGGAAGGGACGCATGTATAAATGACGCATTTAATCCATGATGTAATGTCTGAAAACTTTACATCAGTCATGAGAAGATGCTGCAAATGCAGCCACACAATGCCTGGGTCAGGCGAGTTTAATCCTTTGATGCACTAAGCCCAAAAGTAAACCATGCAAGGCTTGGAGTGCCTGGTGCTCTCAGTGCCCTCTGGCTCATGCTGCAGTCCACACAGGAGGGCAGAGCCACTGAAGCAGCGTGGAAGCTGACTGCTTCCTGTGGAATTGCACTGAAATGGCAGCTTGGGAATCTTGAGAAGTTCCTGTGCTGTGGAACCCATATTTACAGCCTACAGTTCTTCAGATGGAGAACAGGAGGAAAAGAACTGTAGCTTCCTGCAGGACTATTTTTCCTGGACTGTGTTTTATTGGAAAAAGATTCTTTGTTCAGAGCCCCTGCAAATTACACAGTGGAGGACAGCATCACTAGCCAAAAAAAACCCAAACACACAAAAAAAACCTTTGTCATTAACTGTGTTCTCTTTACAACACCCAAAACCAAACACTTCTGTGTAAGACACTAACAGGCTGTTGGCCAAAGAGGTTTAATTCTCTTTCTTGCTTGTCCTAGTGGGTTGAAAAAACTGAGAAGACAAGCATTAAAGTGTTCATTAAGCTGGTTTAAAGCAAGAAATGAATTTAAAATATTTTTCACTCTTTTTCCCAAAGGCCAAGGAAGCCCAGGAGGATCTGGTAAAGACAAAGGAGGAGCTACACCTGGTAATGACTGCTCCGCCTCCACCCCCACCTCCTGTCTACGAGCCGGTGAACTACCATGTCCAGGACAACCTGCACGAGGAGGGATCCGAGTACTCGGCCTACAGCGCCGAGTTCTCCAGTGAGGGCATCAGGAACGACCGCAATGAGGAGAAGCGTGTCACTGAAGCGGAGAAGAACGAGCGCGTGCAGAGGCAGCTGAGGGTAAGACGGTGTGAGGAGGAGGAGGGAGTAACTGAAACTATCATTCCTAGAAAATGGGTCATCTCACCACTCGGCTAAGCACACAAAGCACAGTCATTGCTCTGTGTTCAGTTTCTATAGGCTTTTGAATTAAAGACAAGGTATCTAAAGACTTCTGTCACTGTTGAGGCTTAGAGATGACTTCTGTCACCCATAGCATTTATGGCAAGCACATGTTGTATCCGTGTCATGGATCTGGCCAGTCACCTCACCACTCCCAGCTCTCGCCAAGATCACCATCATGGGCTGAGAGCTGCTGGTGTGTCATCTGTACTTCATGTTCCTTCTGTTGCAGGCACTGACAGACGAGCTGGCCCAGGCTAGGGATGAAAATAAGAGGACCCACAATGACATTATCCACTCGGAGAACATGCGACAGGGGCGGGACAAGTACAAGACGCTGCGGCAGATCCGGCAGGGCAACACCAAGCAGAGAATTGACGAGTTTGAGGCGATGTAACGATGCTTGTGACAAGAAGGCAGGACTGGGGGAAAGGCAGATCTTCATGCTGTGTTCTTATTTGGGGTTACTTTGTTGAGGTTTGTTTTTGGGTTTTGTTGTGTGTTTTTATTTTTCTCTGAGGAGGGGTGACTGTATGACACTTCACAAATGTTCTCTGAACCCAGAGGTGTTTGAATCTCCCTTTTATTTCATACCTTCTATTAAATTTGGTATAGTTAAAAATTAATCTTACCACGGATCCTGGTAACTTGCTTATGCCTTTGCTTAGTGCCAAAAGGCCTTATGTCACATCTCTCTTTAAGCAAGACAAACTTTAATAGGCCGTACTTCTAGTTGAAGATACGTGTTCTGTTGCAGGTGCTGGATTCAGCTTGGTCTAAAAATAAGCAACTGTGGGTGAATTTTGTGCCATATGTCTTTGTATCGTTAGTTACAGTGTAAAGTACAACAGTTGAGAAGACAGGTTGTAGAAGTCAGGCTGTGCAAGCATGGGGGGGGTGTGTGTGCACATTTGTACACCCTGTTTTTCCCTGGGTCTCGATGCCCAGATTTCCCCCCCTACTCTCCTTCCCCTCACCCCCAAAAGAACTGACACCACCTCAGAACTACTTTATGTAGATATTAGGCTTTTTATGGTTGCTGTTCTCAGCTGGAGAAATTCTGCAGTGGTGGCTCAGAAGGGTGGCACAGGGTCACCAGTACCCTCCTCGTGTATAAACCAGGCAAATACTGTGCTGGAATCTGATACGCTGCTGTGTTTGCATTCCAGCCTCCTTACTGATCAGTTATAGCATAGTATTTATAT